TGATTCATGTCCATCTCAAGCATTCTTCTCCAAGATTTTCAAAGCCTCATCTGTATCATCTTAGGGCCCAGAATCTCTACATCAAAATTAGGTCTAGGTGTAGATCCTTAACTCAAGTATAGTTCTTCTGAATTATGAATTAAAGAGACACATTGTTTTGTTTCCTCATCCTCTGCCTATGTACACTATCTACATACCGAACATAACGATAGGACAGGCATGGGATAATTGTTAAGATTTTCTAGTTCAAAGTCTAGAAAGTACAAAGATAGAAGGTATAAAAGAGTCACTTATCCATATAATTTTGAAATTCAGGTACTAATACAGCGGTTCCTTGATTATATCTTAAAGCAGAAAAAATTTTTTTCAGAGGGGGGTGGGGGGTGGGGAGGACCTCCCAAGCAGTGTCCAGGAGGCCCAGGGCCCCTTCCGAGATTCACCAGCATCAGCACTGTAGATGGTTCCGTGTGGGCCTGAAAATGCTGTGCTGCTTGAACCCTGGGGTACTGGCGATTACCACTAGTCATGCTTTCAGGCTTCCAGGCCTATATCCAGCAGTGCTTGGAGGACCCTGTGTTGCCAGGGATCCAACTGGGTTGGCCACGTGCAAACATGTGTCTTAATTCCTATGCCAGCTCCCAAGGACATTAATTCTTTATGATGATGGACTTCACCCTCTAGTTCTTGGTTCCTTCCTGTAAGTTCTCCTCTTTACAAAATGTGTGTTTGCAGCTGAGTTGTCTTCTTCTGCTGCCCGCCAGTAAAATTTGGAGGCCCTGTGGTCTCTTTGTACGATCATTTTTCCTTTTAGTACCAATTAGCCCTGTGTATAAAGTTCTCTTAAATATTTTGTCGTCCTGTGAGTTACATAGTGTTTACTCTGAGACAAAGTCCTATCCAGAAACTCTTCAAGATAATAGACTTGTAGAAACATTGTGTTACAATACCTGCAAACTTTAGAGAGGGCCAATTTTGATTGAAAATTTATAAGTGAAGAAAATTTATTTTTTTAAATAATTTTTTTGTGTGTGGAAGCCATTTTTTTCAATTATTTGATTACTTTATTATCATGAATCTTTGAACTGCTTATCTCAAGAACAAACTATAATAATAGGAAACAAAATACTCTTAAAATGAACATTCTGTGATAACTCAGCTTAAAGGGGCTGAGTTGGATAGGATGGAATTGAACTTTTAGTGGTAAACTTAATGTCACATACACAGATGTTGGTTTTTAATGATGCATGCATGAAACATATGTAGTATTATAATGACAATATTAATTCAATTATATTATTTTAAATTACACAACGTTTTGAGCTTTGCCATTATTCTATTTTTTTTTATCATTTTTTTTATTAGTGAAACACCATGAGGGACAGTTATAGACTTATAAATTTTTGTGCTTGTGTTTCAGTTATACAATGATTAAGTACCCATCCCTCCACCAGTGCCCATCCTCCACCACCACGGGTCCCAGCATCCCTCCCACCCCCCATCCCCCCGTCCCACCCTTCCTCTGTGGCAGGGCATTCCCCCTTGTTCTCTCTCTCTTCTTTTGGGTACTGTGTTTTGCAAGAGAGGCATTGAATGGCAATCATGTTTGGTCTATAGACTACTTTTAGCATGTCTCTCCCACCCTGGGAGGGTCCTCACAACACCCTTTATTTGGTGCTCTCTTCTCTATCTGAGGTGGAAGCCATTCTTAACTATTTTGTCATCTTCAGAACCTGAGAAATTTCAAAACATTTATGTCCTGTTTTCATTTTTGTTAACAGTCTTTTTCTTTAGTTTATCTCTCCTCTCATACTTTACTGTAAGCTGCAAAATATACATAGGTAGGACCTGCAGCCTTGGCTTTGGAAATATTCTTAGCTAGATCACTCCATTCATTAGCACATTTCCTATTTTCCACATTTTTACAGGTGATAGTGCTGCTGAGTTTCTACTGCTAAGCAATGAACCTCCTAATTTCCAAAAACATTTCCTCATTTCCTCTTGAGCCGTCAGGGGCAGCATGCCCAGAGTTCTAAATTTCTGCCAACTCTGCTCAAAGCAACTTAGGGTTTCTCTAACATGCTTCTCAGAATTCTTTCATCCTCTTCCTACTGACAGATTTCAAAGGTACTCCCATATTTCTGATTTATTATGGAAGGTTCCCCCCCCCCCCACCGTACAGCCTTTAGCGTCTGTAGTGGATTATTATTCCTGTGTAACAGATCTCCCAAATTTACTGAAAACAACAAGCATGTATTTTTTAGTGTTTCAGTAAGTCAGGGTTGTGAATGTGTCTTCTTAATGGAGTCCTCTGTATCAAGATCTTTCCATGTTTAATAAAGGTCTTAGCCAGGGCTGTGAACTCATTTGAAGTTTCAACGAAGGAAGAATCGTCTTGCTGGCTCAGTCCTGTGGATTTGGTGAGATTCAGTTCATATTTTGACGACCAGAGGCCTCCTTTGTGCCTTACAAGTGGACTGCTTTTCCTCCATGGGCCCTTGATAACATATCTAATTTGCTTCCATCAGTAACATTTAGTCACTTATCCTCTATTCTCTTTGTTAAAGGTAAATCATTAGGCCCACCCTTTGTAGTAAGGGAGAATTGTTCTACAAAGGAAGGAATATCTGGAGATATGGGGACTTTGGAAACAAGACCATCTTAGAAGCTGTTTAATCTTTTGCATTATTTGCCTGTGATGGTGAATCTGCATGAACTGAATTTGAAAATTGGAAGGAAGTGTACAAAATACACCAAATTAAGTCATGTTTACATGACACATTTAGCAGGATCTTTACGACCTGAAAATTTTGACCTAAAATTTTACTAAAAATTTTATAATCTTACGAACTTCCACACGAGCCAAGTTTTCTTTCTACACAGATGTATCCCTTGCTCATATACTTACTTGAAGTCTGATGGAAAATAGTAATATTGAGAGATATTTTTGTTTTACTCTCAAAGCCTAACTGACTGTTGAACAAAGGAAGTAAATACCTTTTGCTTTTACCTAGATGTTGATAGGCATCAGAACTATAAGATACATGTCACTGTATCACTGTCATCCCGTTGTTCATCAATTTACTCAAATGTCTCCATTCGTCCCAGCCCTGAGATTTTAGTAACCTCTCCTTACTCATCTTTCCCAAGTATAAGATACATAAGACAAAATAAATGAGTTTGCTTTCTCTAGATTAATTCTGAAATAAGAGAGTACAGTAGGTAGGGCACTTGCTTTGCACACAGCCAACCCAAGCTAAACCCCTTGCATCCTCTACAGTATCCTGAGTGCCACCAGGAGGAATCCCTGAGCAGAGAGCAGGTAGTAACCCTGAGCACCACAGGGTATGGCAAAAAAGGTAAAGGTAAAGGTAAAGGCCCTCCCGTTGATCGTCGATTTGCTCGAGCGGGCCCAGTAACGTCTCCATTGGAGACTTTGTTGTTACTGTGTCTGGCATATCGAATACTCTCGGTAGCTTGCCGGGCTCTCCGAGAGGGGCGGAGGAATCGAACTCGGGTCGGCCATGTTGGCCGCTTGTAAGGCGAACGCCCTACCGCTGTGCTATCGTTTATTTTTTAAGTAGCACTATCCTCCAGTTGTTCATCAATTTGCTCAAGCGGGCACCAGTAACGTCTCACAACAAATTGTGAGACTTGTTACTGTTTTTGGCATATTAAATACGTCACGGGGAGCTTGCCAGGCTTTGCCTTGTGGGTGAGATACTCTCGGTAGCTTGCCGGGCTCCCCAAGAGGGGTGGAGGAATCAAACCCAGGTTGGCCGCATGCAAGGCAAACGCCTTACCCAGTTTGCTATTGCTAAAGCCCCTAAAACATTCTCAACATTTTCTTTTTTCTTTTTTTTTTTCGCCTTTTGGGTCACCCCTGGTGTTTGTTGCACAGGAGTTACTCCTGCCTCAGGCACTCAGGAATTACTCCTGGCGATGCTCAGGGGACCATACAGATTGCTGGGAATCGAACCTGGGTCGGCCACGTGCAAGGCAAACACCCTACCTGCTGTGCTATCGCTCCAGCCATTGTTCAACATTCCAAATAAATGACAAAAAAATGTGTGGACTACAGTGGGCACCTGAGCCTTTTTCAAAGAATACTTTCTTCCAGACATACACAAAAATCACCAAGGAGAGAAACAATTTTGCCTTGTTAACTTGTAATAACAGTGATACTTTTTAAGTACAATTTGAAATTATAGTTGAGAAGGAATACTACTTATACTCCTGTTACATTTTTATACACACACGCGCGCGTGTGCGCACACACACACACACACACACACACGTAGGTAGCATAGCTCCAGGAGCCATACAAACCATTCAAACATGAAGAAAAGTCCTACAATTTTTTCTGATATTGGAGAAAGTGTTCTATGATGAATAGTTGAAATATAACATGTTGGAAATACATAGTTTTATAGAAAAATCTTTGAAAATGTTTTCTTTGTTGGTCATCCTTTAATGTGAATTTTTTTATTTCTTAGCACAGAAGTTACTTTAACCGATAGGATGGTAACAGTGATAACTTTTTTCCATAGGGTGTATTTTTTTGTTATTTGGTTCAAAACTTAGCTTTTTTGCAAAAAATCCATTTATAAATCCATTTAGTAAATCCATTGATGTTTCAATTAAAAATTCATAGTAAATATATTAAAGTGTTGGATTCTTTTTCCCATTATGGGTTTTAAGGTATTATTTTTTCCTTCTGTGTTTCTCAGGAAGTATGTTGGAAAATTTTCCCAAAATTCTTTGTTATTATACTACCAATGCTTATGGTAGAAAAAGAGAGAGTATGTTCAGATGCTTAAAGCTAGTCATTTCTGAGTTGCAGCTAAATCTCTGACCAGGTTTGTGATAATGAGAAAAATTACAAAACAAAATGTTACTAGGCAGCATTGTGTATATCCAACGATTTTAAAGGATATTATGTACCATAATTCTTTTCTAGCTTATCCTTAGTATACAAAATTGTCCCTTTTTCTCTTTTATAGGTGATATAACATTAAAAAGCATCCTGGGTAACATCACAGTAGGTACGTGCTAAGTTGCTAGTTTGTATATGCTAATTTTGCATGCCTTTAAAAAATAGCTATATTTTTGATGTTTTATTAGAATAAATTGTTTATTTTAGCTGCTTAACTGATGGGATCTTGACATGTAAATCAGATCTAACCCAGTGCGTGAATATGTAGAATTGTTTCTGGAAATTTCACTGAATAATGAATTCATAGGTTTGATATCAATCAAAGTATAGTTAAAATTCTGATTTCATCATTTTTTTCATATGGGTAAATTTACTTTGTTAATTTACGTGTGTGTGTGTCAGTTTCTAGATAGTAAAATATAATAGTAAGTACTTATAAGGGTTCTTGTAGTGGTTAATAACACTTCAACACAGTCTCTGTAAGTTATGGGAAGGATAAGTAAATACTAGCTATCTTTATCTATCTTATTCTAATCCCAGACCAGAACTAATGACAACTAATGGTTCTTAGTTTCCACGTATGATGTGTACTTGTGGGTGGAAATTTTTAGATATCCACATACATAGTTTTGGTAGAACTTTGTTCTGTCCCAACTAGCACCTGTTTGCCTAGTAGGAGAAAGCACACTAAGTACTCTAGAGTGCTGCACTTTTTTAGGTCTTAGAGGGGAAACATCTTTTACAGGACCTCTGGCTCATTGCCAGTGTGAATGTCCACGTCATCCTTGTTTTCATTTGACATTTTATATTTTGCCCATTCTTAATGCTGATTGAAATAAGGAGCCTAACTAACTGTACTTTCAAATATTACTCCTGGAGAGATCATAATTTGTATTTTCAATGAAAGATAAAAAGATTATTCCTTCCTAAGTGATAATTAAAAATTATTTATGGGGTTGGAGCGATAGTACAGCGGGTAGGGTGTTTGCCTTACACGCAGCCAACCCGGGTTTGATTCCCAGCATCTCATATGGTCCCCCAAGCAATGCCAGGAGTAATTCCTGAGTGCAGAGCCAGGAGTAATCCCCTGACCATCACCGGGTGTGATCCAAAAAGAAAAAAAAATCATTTATGACAAGACAGAATTTTTACCTGTGTTTCCCTGGAAAAATCAAGAACTACAGTTCAGGGGACTGGAGATATCATCTAGTGGGTAGAGCACTTACCTTGCACACAGTTGACCCAAGTTCAGTTCCCTGCACCCTGTATGATCTCCCTGAGCCTTGCTTGGAATGATCGCTGAGTACAGAGCCAAGTGTAAGTCCTGAGAGCTGCTAAATGTGAGCCTCCACCCCACCAACAAAACAAAAGAAGAAAAATGTATACATTTGATTTATCTGTAATAGTGTAGAAAAATGTAGACTTCAAAGAAACATTTGACTAAAATTACTACATATTAGGTGTGAGACTAAACAAATCAAAAAATCTCATTTTGCATTTTTTTTTTGCTTTTTTGGTCACACCTGGCAATGCACAGGGGTTACTCCTGGCTCTGCACCCAGGAGTTACTTCTGGCGGTGCTCAGGGAACCATATGGGATGCTGGGAATCGAACTCAGGTCGGCCGCGTGCAAGGCAAATGCCCTACCTGCTGTGCTATGTCTCCAGCCCCATCGTTTTGCATTTTTAAGTCAGAATCGATATTACTTATATGGTACAAAGTTGAGAAAATGAAGCCTATAATGCATGATTTATCTTATGCTCTTTATCTTGTAATTATCTTCTTGCAATAAATTATCTTTCTCCTAATTTGCTATTTGGAGTATACAAGTAGTAAATCATTATATTTTAGTCTTAAAAGTGAAGTGTCTAACAAATTTTCTGAATTTTTGAATGTGTGTGTGTGTGTCCTGTGTGTGTCCTCCCGTTGTTCATCAATTTGCTTGAGCGGGCCCAGTAACGTCTCCATTGTGAGACTTCTTGTTAGTGTATTTGGCATATTGAATACTCTCGGTAGCTTGCCAGGCTCTCCAAGTAGCTTGCCAGAAATATATTATGTGTAAATATGTTATTGGTCTCAAAATTCCCAACAAAAACGTTTTCCTCTTAAACAGCAGTCAACCAGCTTTTTAAAGGGTCATACAGTAACTATTTTGGCTTTATCTGCCACTCTTTTGTTACTATGCTGGCTCTGTTATGGTAATAGGAAAGCAGTGATATCTCTATGTTTCAGTGAAACTTGATCAATAACACCAAGAAGTGGACTATTGTCTGTGACCATGATGTAAATCCTTAAATCCACTGTTTATATGATTCCGATTTCAGGATAAGAGATTTTATGATTCCTTTATAAAATATACACATCATTGTGTCTCTTAATTTCTAGTTTAATTATTATTTTCTTCCAAATTTTTTTATTGAATCACCATGAGATACAGCTATAAAGTTATTCATGATTGTGTTTCAGTCATAGTATGTTCCAATAGCTGTCCCTTCGCCTATGTACATTTATCACAATCAGTGTTCCCAGTTTCCCTCCCACCACCACCCCCATCCCCCTGATCAGTCAATTGGATTTTGTAGATATCACAATCACAATCACAGATCATCCTGTTATTCGTCGATTGCCTCGAGCAGGCCCCAATAACGTCTCCTTCATCCTAGCCCTGAGATTATATTCAAGGCTCTTTAGGAGAATGAGACCCATCATGTTACTGGTATTTGGCATATTGGGTACACCACGGGGAGTTTGCCAGAGCCCAAGTCCTTTGTAGATATATTCAAAACAATCTCCTTAACCCCTCTGAATTTTCTTTGACTCACACTTCAAAAAAGAAATAATACCTCTTTTCTGGAATACCAAGTGTAAGTCATTTAAATGAGTCAATTAGAGAAAGTAGCAGTTGCAGTAGATAATGGCAGGATTTCAGTGCTAGGAGAGTTCTTCGCATAACTTTCCCTTCTCAGCTCTCTACGGTGTTTGTTTTCCAAGGCACTGCTAGAAGCAGAGTCCTGGCATTGATAATGTTTGATGGAGTTGGAGAGCGACTGTGCATGAGTAGTTGGCAGCTACTCTCAATATTACTTAGCTTGATAGTACTGGGCCTGCGACTTACATGCTCAGTTCTGGTGATGTGGTGTTATTTGGGCTATGGGGCTGGAGCGATAGCACAGCCTGTAGGGCATTTGCTTTGCATGCGGCCGACCCAGGTTCGAATCCTCCGTCCCTCTAGGAGAGCCTGGCTACCGAGAGTATCCAGCCTGCATGGCAGAGCCTGGCAAGCTCCCTGTGGTGTAGTCAATATGCCAAAAATAGTAACAATAGTCTCACAATGGAGATGTTACTGGTACCCTCTAGCAAATGAATGAACAACCAAGGACAGTGCTACAGTGCTGTGGTCCTGGGTACCACCAGGGCTCCACCTAGTGGTGCTAGGAGTGGGGCATGAACTGTCACTAATCAAACACATGCCTCACTCTCCATTTCTTTGAGCTCTCTCCCTGGCCTGTGATACTGGCAACATTTTGTACATGTCAGCATCCCGTATTCTTCTGTAATACAAAATACGTATAGATGGTGTCAATTTTAAAGACTTGAAGTGATCTTAAAATTCTTCCCTTTACAACTCCCGTGTGTCCTGTATATAAAGTTTATCACTTTATATTGCAATTGTATAGTTTTAGAAGTGCAGAATTAAGTTGTTACTATCAATATGTTAACTTTTTATTGCTATTCTTTTTTATTTTACAAGAAATCTATCTGCAAGAAACAATTTACAAATTTAAAACTTCAGGCCCAGGGAGAGAGGTCAGGGGGCTCAAGTACACACTGTGTATGTATGAGTCCCATATTCGAGCCCCGGCACCACATGGTTGTCCAAGCACTGTACCCCTCTCCTAAGAAACTTCCTGACTGGTCTTCCAGCAATGCTGAGTGTGACCCCTCCCCCGAAATTTTTAGCATGTGTTTGAACACCTTTGAGAGGATTATCTCTATGCAAAGGAAAATAGTAAAGTTTGTAATTTCAATGTTTAAACCTTGGTGGTTATTCTCTGCTCTTAGCAAAATGTATCTTACAAATATCCTGTGTGTATGTACAGTTAGCTGGTGGGTGATGTCAGTTTTTTCCTTTGAATGTGTAATTTTCCAGGAACACTCAGTGGTCTCTGTAAACCAATAAGATCTTTGTCCAAAATAAGTAATGATAGAAAATGCTCTGTGGGAGTCTACTTTTATTCCAGCCACTGTCTGGACTAATAATTTTGGTTCACTCTTAGTCACCCTCTAGTATGTATTTTCCTTAAGGCTTTCTCCAAAAGAGATTTGCTCTGTTATGTGAATCTCCAAAGAAGGCTGTGCATGAAACCTTCATTTGGCACAAAATAATTTTTGGTTCCCAATCATTGGCATTTAAAAAAAGAAAAGGAAAAATAGTATTCTGTTCATAGCTTTTTAATCATTTCTTCTTTTTATAAAACATATATGAGGGTATTTTCTTTTTTCCTTGACAACTTTCAAGAGATAGGACTCTGATAATGATCAGAGTTCCAGACTGACAACATGGGGGTATAATTACTTAGAACTCAGAATAGAATATTAAACTGTTGTCTAATTCACATGGACTGTGTGAAAATTATTATTTATGAATCTCATAGAAATCTTTAGGCATTTCTTTTCCCTTTGGAAAAAGCAAGAAATTAGACTAATGTTTCAACTCTTTTGACTTTATCCAGGCTGGAGCAATGTACACATAGTCTAGTACATCTTCTTTTTACCATAGTATATTTTCACTTGGCTTCTTTTTAGAAGATATGATAGATCCATAAGGATATTGGAGGGCAGTCATCTTGGTCTTGTAGTTGGCAAAGGACAGGCAGGTGTTACGAATGCTTTTCTTGCCTTCTGACACATCTACCAACACTTCTGCTCTTCCCTCTTTTGAGGTCTTCCTTTATCGCATCTCTACACCGCTTTGCTAGCTCGGACTTTCGCTTGTGGTTGCCTGAGGCATGTGCCAAACCACGTTGGCAAATAAGCTCAAGAGTTTTCAAAGACAGGCATTTTATTGTGGCTATCTCTCTCTTGGCGTTCCTTGCACAATCATGGAGG